ATGTTAATGTGATACTTGTAGTAAAACTTTACAAGTAGGACTATCAACATAAAATCAATGGTCAGTATAGTAGGCGAGACATTTCAGCGTGTGCACTCTTGTTTCAACTTATAATTATAGTCTACAGATATCTAAATAAAAAATTAAGGTATACACATTAGGTAAAAATTAAATTAAACAAAAGACGGTGTTCATGTGACCCCAACCTCATTTTACCCATCAGTGATTAAGGTTATTTTTTTGTGCAAATTAATATATATTGTGGTTAATTCTATTTCTCAGATTCTACACAATGTATATAAAGCAGTAGGTCAAAGTTTACATATGAACAAGAAGAGATACTATACATGAAACGTTTATATATATGTTAATGATGATGATGATGATGATGATGATGATGATGATGATGATGATGGATAGCTGCTTACAGTCCATTGGCAAATTAATATGCATATTCAGGACAAGAATATGTTTATATGATGTGAATAATAACCCTGCTTTGTAATAGACCGACAGCAACTAAAATAGCAAAAAATAATTAAATGACATCTAGAATGAAACCTACATGTATATATAAGGCTTCAATAGAGGGAAAGGCAATTGTCTATGCAATATGTCAAGCTCTAGTCTTTAATGTGTCTATAAAAGTAGTGAATAAATTCAGCAGAAATATCTTGTTCATTGTGTCTGTGATAATCATTCATGTACATGTACATCACATCACTGCATGTACAAAAATGTACCACATCTATTTTATATAGATCTGTCATATGCATTTAATACACAATTCTAAAAATAAAAAAATAAAAACTGTAGGCCATGCAACATGTACTACAAGTATACAACAGGGTTTATACTTGGTACAGGCACTTGAAATGTGATTGAATTTAATGAAATAGTTTTTGTGTCACCTGAGACCATTGTTGCAAAATGTGACACTTAGGGATTACAATCAGCATAATCGTGCAGCAGCATAAACTATTTGAATAAAGTTTGATATTTCAGAAGATAGATGACCTGGATGTTTTATACCTTGTACACAGATACATTTTTGTGTACCTTATATGTGTAGTCACTAAGTTTCTGTCCAACAAATGTCCATTGTCCTTGACCTAATTTTTATGGTTCAGTGACTGCTTGATTAAAAATTTTGCTTTTTTTTCTCATTTGAAATTTTCACTTTACAAATGTATTATGGTCAAGTCTGTATGTCAGATTCTATAAGCAATAGGTCAACTATATTTGGTGTATAGAATAATTGTTAGATGTACATGTGCATTTTGGACTAGCAGTTTTCATCGAACCTTGACCTCTTTTTCATGGTTCAATCTTTAGTTGTTGTGGTTAAGTCTATTTCTCAAACTAGCAATTAGGCCTCTACATTTGGTGTATGGAATGATTTTAAGGTGAACATGTCCGACACAGGCATTTTTTTCTGACCTTGACCTTTTTCATGATTTACTATTTATGATTTTGGTCTATTTTGCAGACACTTTGAAGCAATAGGGCCACTATATTCTGCATATGACTTCTGCAGCCCTTCTATGTCGAGTATATATTGATCTTAAAAAAAGACAGGTTATTGATAATTTAGTTTATTGCTTTCAAATTTAAAAATTTGATTAAAAGGTAAAAAAAGCTAGAATTTTCATTTTGGACTAAGGGAGCTACCATTTGATTTTTATGGTGGAGGGAGGGGGGGGGGCTAGGATGAAAAATTTTGTTCTGCATTTTTTTTTAGTTATAATATCTGTCCTGCCTTTTTATTTTTCACTCTATTCGGTCCTGCCTTTTTTTAAAGTTTATCCTGACTTTTTTTTTTACCTAAATTGTCATCCTGAGGCCATAAAAAAGAATATGTTTGTTTGCCCTTATAACCCTATCTACCCATATAATAGCTGCCTACTCAAAATCTTTTATTGTCCTGATGTGAAAAAGTTTTTTTTTTAATCAGATAGGCATGAAGACTAAAAATTATCTGACACTTCAATTACTCTTTACTGAAAAAAAAGAAAATGCCTACCTACCTACCCACTGTCTCTACCTTTGGGTAGGGTTTGGGCAAACCAAAATATTTTTAAGTGTGGCCTGACTTTTTTTTTTGCAAGTGTCTCATCCTGCCTTTTTTTTACTCAAAACTCCTGTCCTGCCTATTTTTTTCAAATTTCATCCTAGCCCCCCCCTAAAAATCAAATGGTAGCTCCCTATATAACTTTTTCAAATTAACTTGGATTTTAATAAAACTCTACAGCTATCTCAATCATATATTGATCTTACAAAATGCAAGGTTATTTGGAAGTCAGGTTTATTCAGCTGAAAATGTAAGGATTTATTTAAAAGGTAAAAAAGCAAGAATTTTCAGTTCGAGCTAAATTCACAGGAAGGGGACTTAAGGTTTGCACTCCGTCAGTCTGGCAAATCAGTTTTCCACACTTTTTTTCTTCGTGCTTGAAGATATTGATTTGATTTTTGGTGTATTGTTTTATCATGACAAGTTACAGATCAAGTTTGAATTTTATTTATCAATTATAATGTCAATGATACACTAGGATTGGTTTTTTGTATATATGTATCTGCTACAGCATGGGAATTGTATAGGAAATACACATGTATTTAAATATATAGCCTACTACCTAAGATTTTTTCTTACTAGATACAAAATAAAAGAGCCCCCCCCCCTCCCTGACAGTTCACAAAAATTCGTACAGTAAGGCACCTCTCTTGTAGACTCGATCAACTGAGCTAAAAAAAAACTTCACTAGAGCAGCTAATAGAGGACAGTTTTTTTTTCTTGTATGCAAGCCGAGGGGGGTGCTTGTGGCGCTAAACATATATATATATGTATGGTTTATCAATGCTTAAACTTTTTACATGTCCCATTCAAACTATGCATAGTTTGCACCCCCTTATCAAAATCCTTGATCCACGTCTGGCAGAGGGAAGCAGTCAGGGGCGAATGCCATTTATAAAAGGGGGAGGGGTTCCTAACCCAGGATAAAGAGGGGGGTTCCAACTATATGTCCCCATTCAAATGCATTGATCGTCAAAAAAAAGGGGGGTTCCAACCCCCCCCTCCCCCCCACCCTGGATCCGCCACTGGCAGTGCTATAGTGTACAGTTTAACAGTGTTTACTGTACTCTTTAATTTCCACGATTACGATCCGACCTCAAGTCATAAAGCATATGAGGCACATCTGAAAACTTTGACAAACGTCACATATTTCAAATATTCATGGCTATAGTTACAATATGACGACGAAAGAGATTTAAAAACTATTTCCAAACGATTAACAATCGAAGCGATAAATTTTAAGTCCCATTGTTTTTATTTTTGGATACCCTCGGGACCTTTCAATGAACCTCATTCAAGTAAATATGTTCCGCGTGCGCTGTTCAGATTGGATAACTAGAATTCTGATTGGTTGAAAAAGTCACATGCATAATCCTTCAGAAGTGAAACCTTATACGGGTAGTTGTTAGATCTTCGTATGTAGTATAACGTAGTATAACGAAATCCGAGATCTATATTTTAATTAGATTGAATGTGTATCTAATAGTTAATATAAGGAAATACTTCCTTTTTAATTTTGGTTCTGGTAGAATATCCTTATTCATTTTTGAATAATTACTCAAAAATTTTTCAAATCAAAGTTTCAAACCATCTTTAGGTACCTACAATGAATATTAATGTGATTGAATGTTCAGAAATACACTAAATTGTTTTTTTTAAGGAAATCGAAATATTGTTATCATTGTTTCTATGTAAGTAATCTTTTAGTACAATCAAGGATCCTCTGGATATCCCAATTTTTACGAGCAGATATTGAAATTTTTATTTGTACTGGATTTTAATTAGTACAAATCATGCAGAATTCCAATTTCTACTAACAGATAATGGAATTCCAATTTGTACTAGGAGGATTATGGATCCTACTGAATTCCAACTTGTACTGTAATACATATACACTTTTGAAAATTAAATTCTGACAATCTTAGAAAATTATGAAATCCTTGATGTCACAAATATTCATATAAGCTACGTAGTTGTAAAGACGAACCCAGCTGTGCTTTACCGTTGTTTATTCGGCAATAACACCTGACACTGCTATAACACATGTGTTATAGTAATCTCAGATTACATGCACTGTCCAGATCCTTTGTTTTCCGGGTAATCAATAGTTACTGACAATTAACGAATTGAGGGTTTTCCGATACCCAATGTTATCTTGTAGCGATCCTGTTTAACCATGGACTATCGGGAAAAGTCAATGTCCCTGATATTTATAGATTGTCGATGATTTTTCAAACGAGAGGAGCGAGATCCCTGAGATGAGATGTGGCCGAGAAACATCCCCGAGTTTGAAAGACCATTGATAATCTGTTTATCGATATTTTTCCTATGACGTCGTTAATGTTTACATTGAAAAAAAAATATTTAAGGAATGACTGTAATATTTTTCTGTCTAATAATATGAAGAAATAACATAAAAAATGTGATGCACACTGAATAACCCGCGTAGTGGGTTATTTAAACGTGTGCACCACATTTTTGAGGTTATTTCGAACAGACAGAAAAAAATTATTACACTCGGCCGGTGAACAGTCATTCCTTATAATTTAATTCTAAATTCCTTTTTTTAAGGAGCAAATCATGAAAAAAGCGTTTTATGACGTCACGGTCACATGACATAATATTGTCTATGAGCTGATAGACAAAAAACTTTCAGCAAATCAGAAGACGTTTTACATCCAAAATTAAATTATTGAGAAATATAGAAGTTGTATTGCATAAGACACACCAAATGCTAGTTAACGTTGAAAACATGAGAGGCAAACATCTCTAGAAAAATTAAAAGTTCAAACACGATCACACTTTGTCTATTTTTGTTTTTCATAAAAGTAGACAGAAACGTTGCAATGTCTTAAAAATGTGAACTCTCAGGAGTCGAGCAGAAATTTATTCAAGGATTAATTACAAGCAAGAAATATCTATTTTACAGTGTGTGATCAGCAGCAGTCTATTGGAGTTAGATGATGAATTCTGAAGCAGACATAAAGGACTGGCAAGACGGAAAGACTCTATCGGAATGTATGATATATATGTTGGAGAAAGAAATAATGTGTGATGTCACACTGATGATAGGTGATGAAGAAACACCAATAAATGCACACAAGTATATGATGTCTAGTCGAAGTCCTGTATTTTATACGATGTTTGAAGGTTCGATGCCTGAAACAGGAGACATACTTATACCGGATATTGACTTAAAGACATTTCGTGAAATTTTAAAGTAAGTTTTTGTTTATCAAATGTTAATATGGATTCTAATTAAGTAGCTCCACACAGAACTGAATGCAGGAGGTCATATATTCTATCCATCACTGAGAAGATAAGTATTTGCTGATTCTCCCTGCAAGTACATAGAATTTAAGAGAAAGACAAAAGTTACTGCATGATTATTGTCATTTGGTTAAAATTATGTAAATAACATTAACGGTAACAATTTTACTATGCCAAATGCGCATTTTCAATTTCTATTCAGTGATGCTCGAGGCCAATATTTGAAAATCCAAACCGAATACAAACGTTAACTTTGGAGAGCTGATTAAACAAAAATTAAAAAAAAAGTCGGACCAGGAATCAGAACTGTGTATGAGGGAGATACAATTCTTAATTTAAAATGATTTACGAAATTTTGTTACATAAAATTAAAAAACACAACAAAACAAAGTAGAATGTATGATTGTCATGCGGTCAAACGTATAAAGTGTTGTCAGTTTAAAATAAAATATGCCAGCGACAAATGCCGGCACATTTCCACGAAAAAAAATCTTACGTTTGTCTTGCTTAATTGATTAGATATACTAAAAAAGACCATTTGCTAAAAAAAGATATTTTACCAAATTCTACCGCAAGAAGCATGTATTGGATTGCCACAGTGTGAGATGCTAGTAATTTAAAGTCATTCTATTATTATAGTAGATTCATATTAAGCTAATGGCTGAATTTGTACTTGATATCATCAGCTCCACTGTTTAAACAGCTTGGGTGGATGACAGTAGAGAACAGAATCTCATACCACAAATCTGTTTTGATGCAGAAATGCCTTAAGAACGAAGCCCCTGTATATCTCACTGAAAAATTTAAAGAAATGCCAGAAATAAACCAATATTGTTTGAGGAATGCGTCTTGCAAAAATTTACAAGTTCCAAAAGCCAAAACAGAGCTGTATAAGAAATCTTTTGTATATTTAGGATCTATTTTATGGAATAACTTACCAACATCCCTGAAAAAATCAACCTCAAGTACAAGCTCATTCAAAAAAGATTTAAAAAATTACTTGTTGGAACATTAATTTAAGAAGCTGTGTAATTTTATATGTATAATAATTTTTCACACACTTACTCAAACTTAAGATATTGTTGAGGTAATTTGAATGATGCCAATACTATATGAATTTGTAATTTTTACCTGTTTTGAAAATTGTATATTTCATAACAATTTTTTATTTCATTTTTTCATATATGTGTGTTTGTTTGATATTTTGTAATTGTTTGTTATATTTCATTGTATTTCATGAGGGCCTCAGGGAAGATTAGTTTTATAGCTAACTGTGTAACCCTCTTTAAATAAAGAATTATTATTATTATATTATTATTATATCGTCTGTTGAATTTATTTGAAGCCCCGATATAGGATATTCTAGAGCACGATTTCTGCATGCGAAGCACCACTCTCCTAACCCGCCCTTACATGGTAAAAGATGGCAGATTGCAGGTTTGATTTTGCAAAATATATGTACCGGTATTCTTTTTTAGGTACATATACACTGACGAGGTAAACGTTTCCAATGACAACGTAAAAGAAATGCTCTATGCTTCGGATAAATACATGCTTTCAAAAGTGAAAAAGGTATGTGAAACTCTTCTCAAGAAATCTGCAGTATCCGAACATGCTACTAAATCTCTACAGACAGCCTGTGAATTTCATCTTGACGATCTTAAAGAACAAAGTATGGAATACATAGAACAAAACACAAAGAAATGCCTTTTATCAGAACATGCTATATCACTGTCCAGAATCTGCGTAGAGGAGATTCTAAAGTCAGAGAAACTCAATTGCTCGGAAAATGACGTCTGTGCTTTTCTGTTAAAATGGGGAATTGGTCAGTGCGAGATTGCTAAGTTAGAACTTACAGCGGAAAGTATACGAGAAACTGTTGGCGATTTGATATTTTTGATACGATTTCCAGTCGTCGATATGGAATTTTTTTCAAAAGAAATTGCTGAATCAGGGTTACTTACAGAGGCAGAGGTCATTGACGTATACCAGTCTCATTTTGGTGTAAAGAAAAAAACTTTCATCAGCGGTCCTCGAGAACCTGTATCAAAGAAAAAAATATACACCGTTGGAAGACATTCGTCGATTTCACACCCTTGGGGACGCGATGGTGTGCATGCACTAACCTTCAAACCAGATGTAGATATTTGGCTAAGAGGGGTCCATATATTTAATCCTGTCCCAAGTAATTCTGGACACAATGAGTCCATTACTGTATTTATTTATGTATTAGATACTTATGATGACGAAGTGTTGTTGTATACTGCAGAGACTTGTTATGGTGAAGGCTATGGTTCAACAAGTAAGATAACTTTTCCTAAACCTGCTCGTATTCTAGCTGAAAGAGACTACACAATAAAAATGCACGGAATCATGGCTCTTTCATATTATGGGTCAAATTGTAGAACTAAAGCTGTAGTACCATCATGTGGGGTCACAATATCATTCGGGAATTCTCCGCATTGTACCAGTGGTACGAATGTACATCAAGGACAATTTGCTTGTTTAGTGTTTAGTTTATAAATTTGACAGAGATACCTATTACTTTTAAGAGGCAACGATAAGCAGACACAATATAGACGGTCACTATACTAAAACATTCAACTACCATGCAAGTGCAAGAGAAGGTAACTGAGACAGCTGCGTATTTTTTTCAAATCTTTCATGAAAGAAACACTTAAGACATATGATATGTATCACTATTCTTTTATTAATCATGATTCTTACAGACTTGTTAATACTACAGATATATTTTATTGTATTGACTACAAATAATTCTTATCATTTTAAGTTGTAATTGAAAATATTACATGTTGTTTTCAAACACATTTTTATATGACTTAAAATGATAACCTTTTGATAAATCAATTGGAAAATTTCTGTCATTTCATTACACAGTGAAGTTTAAAATTTAAGAGGAAATATTATATTCCAGAAATGTTTAATTATAGAGGTATTCTCAGCTTTAGCTTATTAAGGTTCCCTCTTCTTTATGCAATGGAAGATTACCTTAGTTTATAGTCAAGCCCTTTCAAACTGATTTTTACAGTTTGTAATTCAGTGCTTGTCGTTGGTTGCTGTCTGCTGTTTTTACATTTTTTTCGCATAAATATTCTCTTCAAGGCCTATAGTTGTGTACATCCTCGTTCATTGGTCTCAAATAGATAGCTGTCTCATTGAAAATAAAAACACGTCGCCTTATTTTTTAAATATTGATTATTCTTTGATGTACTTATACATGTTAAACATCTTTGGTTTTGAGAGTTTAATGATCTAGTTGCGCAAACTTCATTAATTAAATATGAACAAGTGTCAATAAAATCTGTTGAATACGTTTATAACTTAAATTGAATGTTATTTGATTTAGTCCGTTGGCTAATATTTTAAGTATATTCCGGACGGGAATAGATTAACAACTAACCAAAGTGAGTGGACCACGATGTATCCTTTAACAAAGGATAGGAACAATGGACTGAAATTGAATGAAGGTGTGGTAAATGTCAATAAGACCAGAACAAACAAACAAACAACAACCCCACTTAAAGCTTTATTTCCACGACTGATGCACTATCTTATTGAATAATAATATTATAAATAGAAATTGTATGCATGTGTATTTGTTGTTGTAAAGAATAAAGTATCGAGAAGTGTTGGCGGGGGTTGAAATGTTCATGTCTTTGGAAGGGGGGTTGAATTTATTTTCCTTATTCATGGTGGGGATGTGAAAACGTAAGAGAAATTCAGATAAAAGAAAATGACCAGTCCCTGATGAATATGAAATATGTTTACAGCAAATAATGAAGAAAGAATGAATGAAAATTTTACGTTTAGTTATTTTTTTGCTGTAACGAAGAAGATGTGGTATGATTGCCAATGATGCAACTATCTACCCAAGTTCAAATGAAGTGGATGTAAGCAATTATAGGCAACCGTACGGCCTTTAACAATGAGAAAAACCCATACCGTATATTCGGCTTAAATGGCCCCGACATGAAAATTATGAAACAATCTAACTGAGAAAACTAACGGCCTAATTTATTTCAAAAGGATTTACGAAAAACAAATATGACAGACATGAACCAACGATAACCACTGAACTACAGGTACATAAAGAATGTGGCGGGGTTAAACATGTTTGTGAGCGCTCAACCCTTCCCTAACCTGGGACAGTGGTGTTACAGCACAACATAAGAACAAACTATTAAAATTAACTGAAAATGGCTTAACTCATCAGATCGATACAAAGCAGAAAAACATTTAACAAAAACACTAACCGGACGTAGCAGGGTATTTATACATCCCTAACAACAAAAGACACAAAAAACAGATCTGAGAGTACTCGCAGTTACTGACAGCTAGTTCAAAGCCAATAAAAACAAATAAAAAAAATCATGTATCTAAGACTAATAAACATGACCTTGTGCAATGCCAAATTATAAGTATCGACAGAGTGTAGTATCGTGAAAGTGCATATGTGTTTTAGTATGGTTTTAATTTACTGATAAGGAAATCAATATTTAAACCAATAAAAACAATATTTAAAGATCTAATTACAGCGTTGAATTGGTAACCTTTTATAATAAGTTTATTTAAAGTGTTGATAAGTTTACCCTGATCGTATATAAATTTCCGGGCTCGGTAAACAACATCACCGTAAAATTTAGGATGTGCTATTCCGTCTGAAATAAGTTTTTTTACAGGTACAGCCAAACTTGCAAACAAAAACTTTTGTATTATGGAAGAATTTAGTAAAGGTTTTAAGTAATTTTTTGTAACGAAATCCCTGACTAAATAATTTACCAGTATTACATAGATTACGCTAATTGAAATCCAAAACGTCACTACAGACACGGGCATAGCGAACGAGTTGGAACATATAAACACCTAAAGACGGTGCCAAAGGAACATCACCGTCCAAAATAGGAAAATTAACAATAGGGAAACAAAAATCAACCCTTTTGTCGTAAATTTTTGTGGAGAGTTTCTGGTGTAAAACTGAAATGTCTAAATCTAGGAAAGGACGCTTATTGCTGTTAATATTTGATTTATTGAAGGTTAGGTCCTTTGAATATATTTAGAAAATTCTTGACTTTTAAACGAAAAAATATCATCAAGATAACTGTAGTGTTGTTAGATGTATCAATTAAATGGAATTTAGATGGGTCTTTACTGAGTTTGGTCATAAACTGTGATTCATAACAGTACAGGAATAAGTCTGCTATTAAAGGCGCACAATTGGTGCCCATAGGAATACCTACTATCTGTCGATAAACTTTATTGCCGAAACGTACATAAATGTTGTCAAGGAGAAAATGTATGGCTTTAATCATCCCATCACACCTCCAGTAAGTATATTTTGTATATTTACCTTTCTCATTAGAGAAAAGGGACTTATATGAGTCACAGCAAATAAATTTGCAATCAGATTTATCAAACGACCATTTAATTAAATAGGAAAATATTGTTTAATAAGATTGTGTGGAGGTGTAGTATAAAGAGTGGAAAAGTCAAAACGAGCCAAAAGGACCATCAAAGGCACGTAATTTATTTGAAACATCCAAAGATGTTTTTACACTCCAAAAAATGGTTAATTCCACTATTTTCGTATGTGTTATTACAAAAATTAATGATAAGTTCTTTTATAGTAGTTAATGAACTCGTTAAAAGCACTGAAAGATTAGTAGTAGAACACTTACTAGAGGCTAAGTGACTTTTTGCCAGATTTCTCCCGTTTACACCATTTTTTACAGTAGGATGAAAGAGCATCTGTAATAACCTGACGACACTCTTCTCAATTTATTTTCGACGGTGGAGGATATTTTGGTCCCTTTTTCAGAAAGTTTATAACCTCTCGGTCTTGAAAGATAATGAGGTACCCTGTAATTACATGGCCATAGGGATTATATCTAAACTTTGATGTTTCACAGTCTGATGTCGAAGGACCATTATTTTCTGTACTGACGTCTGAAGTAACTGAAAATTTAAACTTCTACTGAGTTTTTTATACGAATAAGAAATTATAGGTGGCTCTATCATTTGTCTATGTTATCAAAATATGGAGGTGTATAGTTTTGAACGGTATGTTTTGTCAAAAGCTGTAATAATACGTATACGCTCATATTTTGGACTGAAAAACGATATTATATCACACTCGTTATAAATATTATGTAATTTACTAATTTGCATTTGACCCAGTTTGCATAATAATTGATGTCTATCATTGTTTTTAAATATAGATAAAAATCATCAAGTGTAAAATTTGAACGATTGTGATTTCGTTGATTGTGGTTAATGCGATTGTCATTGTCTTTTATCCACAATTGTCATGATGTCAATAGAGGAAGTTTTAGATATGTTCCCTTGGCCAATGATATTGTCATTTAGACCTAGGGGATACCCTGTCTGTAGTCGTTTAATCCAAGACAGTTAGCCAATTTTATAGGAATCGTCAAACTGTTTATGTAATTGTCCTGGTTGTTTCTGGACGGTTTGAAGTGGTTAGAATTTTATAAATTTAATATTGTGTTTGTGTTATTCTAAATTTTGGTAAATTAAACTTTTGAGTATCTTAGGTCTGCTAAAAGCGGTATAGATGTTCTTGTGTTCGTTTGAAAAATAGGCGTCCAGTTTGCCCTACATACTGAATACTGCATTTCGGTTTTGTTCAACTTTATTTGAACTGTGATGAGATGCTAAAAGCTGTAAATTTTCTCATTAACAACATCTATAATGTACGTCTCGGCAATACATTTTATCGAGAGGTTTAGGTATTCCTATTGGCACCAATTGCACCCTTTAATATCAGACTTGTTCCTGTTTTATTAAAGGCAAAAATTAGTGATGATCTGTCTAAATCCTCAAACATTGTTTAATCGGTACTTACATTGATTTTATTCTTGATAAGTTAAAACATAACTTGATATAATACACACACACGTTCTTTATGTGCCTGTCTCGAGTCAGAATCCGGTGGTTGTCGTCGGTTCATGTATGTCATTTGTTTTTCGTAAATTGTTTTGTTATAAACTAGGCTGTTAGTTCTTTCGTTTGAATAGTTTTAGATTTTGTCATGTCGGGGTCTTTAATTGATCACTGTACCATATTGGGTTTGTTCATCGTTAAAGAGCGTACGATGACATATAATTGCTTATATCTACGTCATTTGAACTCTGCTGGATAGTTGACTTATTGGCAATCAAACCACATCTCCTTACTTTCATAAAAAAGAGATGTGGGATGAACGTCAATTACAATACAGTTCATTCAGAGGCGGATTAAGGAAGGGGGGGGGGGGGGGTGGGGGGGGGGGGGGGGGTGTGAAACTACATTTAAGGTTAAATCAAGACTTTTTATCCATTCCACTCCAAACTATGTCTAGTTTTGGGGCCCTAGTCACCCCTTTTTTTTAAATCCTGCATGGATCCGCATCAGTCATTATCATATACAGAAAGACATTTAGAGGTAAAAAAATACCAGTCTAATACTGTCTGTGTCATATCAAGTTCTAAATCGCCCCAAGATGCGATTTTATTTCCAACGAGACAACCATCCACCAGAGAACACATACATTTCAACTGAAAGGTATATTAAAATGACCGTTCATTTTAAATGCTGGTAATGTCCTGTAATTGTTTTCGACTTTTTCAGCAATTTCAGGATTCTATCTAAAAGAGTGGCGTATGTTCGAAAGAAGAGAATCAGATAACATATTTTATTACTATGTAAATCAACAATATATTCTACAACCACAACAGGTCGGTATCTTAATGGAGACTTTCTTGAAATGCCAATGTCCTTCCCAGCAAATGACATATATCGATAACTTCTTGAACTGGGTATGCACACACCATGAATTTCCAAAATAGGGATTGACATAGTCGCATTTATTATAACTAAAATTAAAAAATAAACGAAAAATTCACCGATTTACCCCCACAAGTCTTCGATCATAGAAAATTAAGCTTACTGTGATTTGGGTGTGCAATAATATTCATGTAAACTTTAATTCTCCAGTTTATGAAAGATGCCTTTTTTAAAGGATAACAATTTGTAACTGTTATTGTCTTATGTGTATTTTATTTGATTGTACATTATTCGTTGTACTTTCTATAAGACGCATGTGTTGGTCCCCTTTCTGCAGTGATCACCCCGTTGTAGAAGGGTAGATCTTAATACATATATGTTACTTGGATGGAGAGTTGTCTCATTGGCACTCATACCACATCTTCCTATATCTATATATTTCCAAAATATTATTACGGTGTGTTCTAATGATGTGCTGTTACACCCTTGTCCAATGTTATAGGAGAGGGCTGAGCGCTTAAAACATGTATAATCAAATCACATTTTAAGTTCCTATTCAACTGAGTCGGGAGCCTGTAATGCAGCGTTTTTTTTTTATTGTTTTTAGCATATTTGGGCTTGATTTTTTATTTTTAATTGTTTCGCAGGTCCTTTGTAGCTTACTATACAGTATGGGTTTATTTTTTGCTCATGGTTGAAGGCCGTTCTTTACCTTATTGCTGTTTATGTATATGTCCCTTGGTCCAAGGTGGACAGTTTTCTAATTTGCAATTATACCTAAGTAAAAAAATCGCGTACGTCCGACCAAGTGAGCCAAATCTGCTTTTCAGGTGTTAGACCACCAATTCAAAATCCCTATCTATTCAACCAAATTTTTCACTGTTCACAGCTTTCTAAATATTTTACCTTAAGTTTAACTTCATAGAAACCAGATATATCCTGAATTGTACATGCATCACCTTTCTACATGCCAATTTTCAACCCATGTTTAAAATCTTGTAGTAAAATACCAACGTTTCGAAGGTAACTACTACTAAAAATATTCCCTGGTTTTCTGGAAATCTTAAATAAGTATACTATAGAGCGCATTAATTCTCAATTTTTAATGAAAACTCATGGAAAAGTAAATTTTGGCTCAATATGGTCTAAATATATTTCTCTTTCATCAACAGTTTCATTTTTGCAAATTTGTTGGTTAGTTCAAGTAAACAATGACACCAAAAGCACTATTATTTGTCAGGGAAGGGCTACTCTTACACCCTCAACAACCCAAACATTCGGCACCAGTCCTTTTATTTATATCTACCTTTTATACTTTTAGAGGAGATGCGACAGTTATCACTTATTACATGAGGATCTCAAATCAAACGACATATCAATTCATAAGTCGTAAAATAGTGGTTGGGAAGATAATACTCCTTTGAGACGTAGCTTGATTAAAATTGACTGAAACTTTCTGAGGGTGTAATGAACCTGTACAACTTGTCGATGTTTATAACAAACCTTTCTAAAATTGTCCGTTAATAAATTTGGAAATCATAAGAAACTTAGGTTTCAACTCCCTTAGGCAAAGTTGACCGTTGATAAATTTGGCTATTTTTAGGTCCTTTTTGGCCAACTGTTACGTTCAAATGTTCGGCTTTGAGCATTCCTGGTGAAGGTAAATCCAGAAAAGCGTTTCGGACGCATACAATTTATAACGTGTTGTTTTCATTTTTTATCAGTTACGAAGTGGAGCAGTAACAATAAAAACATTTTTTTGGAGATACCGCCTACAAATAAAAGTCTTTGTGGTCGTTTGCGAAACAAAACCAGATAGCGAAAGGAAACAAATGTAACGAAAACAGGTTCCAAAGGCATTCCACGAAAATGGGGAAGACCTAATAAACAGAAGTATGGATATTTGGTTTTTCAGTCTGGAGAGAGAAAGACCTTAATTAAGAGAATATTTTTTTAAGCAATCAAGATTTATCTTAACATACGAATGAATTTTATCAACATCAACTCATTCTTACAAAATCAAATATGAAAAAGGAATATATCTCATTAAAGTATATGTATACCCCAAATATATTTTTTTCATATTTTAATAATATGCTTAAAGACAATATAACATTTGCACTGATACGAATGAAACAAAAAGCCTTCAAACTCAGAAATTGCGCTTAAAGTCCTATGTGATAACCTAAAGCCTATTTTACATTTTACTAAAAAAAAGTCCTGAATATGACATGAAACACATTTTCAATTGATATCTATAAATAATGCGGCTGTTCAGTTATCACATAAAACACGAATTTCGTAGATACTGCCTCGTCTTAAAATGAATATAAAAGATAATACGTTGCTTTAGTTTTGATAAAAATTTTGGTTCTTGGCAATGAATGTTTTTTCATAATTTTATGCGTATATACGCATGTTCCAAAATGTTTTAAAAACATGGACCCTCCTTAAGGATTTCTAATTTGTTTACATATTCTTAAATACAACATAACATTGTGATAAAAAGTAATGCATACACAGGATTGTATCATACTTGTGTGAATTTGATTTAAAGAAAACTGGTCGTACATCTTTCCATGTGATACAGCAGCTTGTCTCCACTATATTATCATACCTTACAAGATAAACTTACTTAAGACATCTTGTCCATGGACAGTGATATTTTCTAAATGGCCAGGCTACCCAGCATTTACCAAACCATGAGCCTATTTTAAAAATGGCTGTTTTTGCTGGACATACATCTAAATAATTTGGCTGAATCTTAGGAACGTCTTTAATGCTTCAAAAATACAGGAATAGCATTAAAAGCATGAAATTACGATTGTTCTCTGTTCAAATTTTGATCAAATTCTTTATCATGTATGATATTTCATTTTTTTTAGAATACCTAGACTATCTTTTTGATCATCTCTGAAAAAGACTATTCGTGTCGGTAATTCAAAGCGAACTCCGAAAAGAAATATGTGTCATTATGAATATCTATATGCAGCCTGCGGTTTCTCAAGTTCTGTTTAATTTACTACGAGATTCAGAAGGGAAACTCGTGGCAAAATAACGTTAGTTTTTATGAAGATCGCAGAATGCTAAAACTGATTCAAGGTTTTTGTTATATATCCATTAAAACTTGAACATACATATACAATAAGACATACTTTTTATGACAGTGGCATTTAAACTGTTTCAGAGTCTCTGAGTAATCTGATGGGTGTTTAAGTGCACTCCTAGGCAACCTGTAGAGAAAAAAGAACAACATATTAAACGATTCATTGGTGTTGCTATCCACTATATATATATATCCAAGTGCGCATACAGTTTTTGAAAACCACGAAACTTCAATGCCGTATTTGTATGGACATTTTTCTCTGAATATACAAGGAAATTACCCTATGTAGTGTCACAGTGTAAACTTCACAAGATTTACTTGAAATACGCATAAAATAATTGTTTTCAAGGGAAAGTGAAGTGAAATTTTTCACTTTAAATTTACATAAATATTTGGATAAATGCTTACTATTGTATGGTTGACGGTTTGAATTGAGTTAAAAAAAAGAATATTTTTTTTCGGTAGTAAGGATTTAATTTTTTGGTGGAAATAACCTTCAAATTCCCAAGTGAGATTGCTCATTTGGGCTGAAATTCACATGTCAATTTTCATGACAGTCAATGCATATACCCATCGTTGATGGCAATTGCTATGGATTTTCTCTGGCTATATACAGCGCTATACTCTCAGTAAATTTTAGTTTTATTGATTATACCTTGAGGATCTATTCCATCTACTACACTAGATATGACCTTGGCATCACATGGTCTGTCACCGGTAAACGATTTTTAATGAAAGTAACAAGTTTTATTCATATTTCATCTTAACGCATCAATGGAAGTAAAACTAAAGCAAATTTGTTGAGTCTCCGTCAATTTCCAAGTTTAAAGAAGTGTCGAAGTTACCAAGGAGGCTATCAAAAACCATAAGTGGCGAATATACAAAGGAGGCAATTGAAAGCCATATAAGTGTCTAAGATACAAAGGAGGCAATTGCAAACCATAATTGGCAAAGACACCAAGGAGACAATCAAAGACCACAAGTAGACGAGATACCGAGAAGGCAATAAAAAACACAAGGGGCAAAGATACCAAGGAGGCAATTGAAAACCATAAGTGTCTAAGATACCAAGGAGGCAATCAAACCCTAAGTGGCGAAAATACCAAGGAGCCAATCAAAAACCACAAGTGGCAAAGAAACCAAGGAGGCAATCAAAGACCATAAGTAGCGAAGATACCAATGAGGCAATCAAAGACCACAAGTAGCGAAGATACCAAGGAGGCAATCAAAGACCACAAGTAGCGAAGATACCAAGGAGGCAATCAAAGACCATAAGTAGCGAAGATACCAATGAGGCAATCAAAGACCACAAGTAGCGAAGATACCAAGGAGGCAATCAAAGACCACAAGTAGCGAAGATACCAAGGAGGCAATCAAAGACCACAAGTAGCGAAGATACCAAGGAGGCAATCAAAGACCACAAGTAGCGAAGATACCAAGGAGACTAATTAAAACAACAAGTAGCGAAGATACCAAGGAGGCAACCAAAGACCACAAGTAGCGAAGATACCAAGGAGGCAATCAAAGACCACAAGTAGCGAAGATACCAAGGAGGCAATCAAAGACCACAAGTAGCGAAGATACCAAGGAGGCAATCAAAGACCACAAGTAGCGAAGATACCAAGGAGGCAATCAAAGACCATAAGTAGCGAAGATACCAATGAGGCAATCAAAGACCACAAGTAGCGAAGATACCAAGGAGGCAATCAAAGACCACAAGTAGCGAAGATACCAAGGAGGCAATCAAAGACCACAAGTAGCGAAGATACCAAGGAGGCAATCAAAGACCACAAGTAGTGAAGATACCAAGGAGACTAATTAAAACAACAAGTAGCGAAGATACCAAGGAGGCAATCAAAGACCACAAGTAGCGAAGATACCAAGGAGGCAATCAAAGACCACAAGTAGCGAAGATACCAAGGAGACTAATTAAAACAACAAGTAGCGAAGATACCAAGGAGGCAACCAAAGACCACAAGTAGCGAAGATACCAAGGAGGCAATCAAAGACCACAAGTAGCGAAGATACCAAGGAGGCAATCAAAGACCACAAGTAGCGAAGATACCAAGGAGGCAATCAAAGACCACAAGTAGCGAAGATACCAAGGAGGCAATCAAAGACCATAAGTAGCGAAGATACCAATGAGGCAATCAAAGACCACAAGTAGCGAAGATACCAAGGAGGCAATCAAAGACCACAAGTAGCGAAGATACCAAGGAGGCAATCAAAGACCACAAGTAGCGAAGATACCAAGGAGGCAATCAAAGACCACAAGTAGTGAAGATACCAAGGAGACTAATTAAAACAACAAGTAGCGAAGATACCAAGGAGGCAATCAAAGACCACAAGTAGCGAAGATACCAAGGAGGCAATCAAAGACCACAAGTAGCGAAGATACCAAGGAGACTTATTAAAACAACAAGTAGCGAAGATACCAAGGAGGCAATCAAAGACCACAAGTAGCGAAGATACCAAGGAGGCAATCAAAGACCACAAGTAGCGAAGATACCAAGGAGGCAATCAAAGACCACAAGTAGCGAAGATACCAAGGAGGCAATCAAAGACCACAAGTAGCGAAAGGCAATCAAAGACCACAAGTAGTGAAGATACCAAGGAGACTAATTAAAACAACAAGTAGCGAAGATACCAAGGAGGCAATCAAAGACCACAAGTAGCGAAGATACCAAGGAGGCAATCAAAGACCACAAGTAGCGAAGATACCAAGGAGGAAATCAAAGACCACAAGTAGCGAAGATACCAAGGAAACAACCAAAAAACCTCCTATCAAGAAGGATCAGTAACAAACATTTGAAAGCCGACGCGCAACTTAAATTAATATTTGAAATATGTACAATCAAGCAAAACTCGCTAGAAACATGATAATTTTAGGAGTTTTTTTTTATGATAATTGATTGTCATGTAGTGAAGTAACACCTAAGTAAAATTTTACAGCCTAGAAAATATATACGAACAATATTTTGATCAATCTAAAAGGCATTACTAATATATGATGCGATTTTGTGGAATGAAAGTTAGAGAGAGAGATTACAGTTAAGTAGTAGCTGGTATTATAAAATAATGATAAATTCTTGTGTCCTTTAGAGAATGAGATACTGGTGGTATCTGTTTGATAGTTTCTGTTAAACGTCTCTAAACTAACACGATTATGATTTTTTAACATTTTGCATATTCTAACGTTGATGACGGTATGTTGACTGAGGTCGTTGCTTTGCTATATCATTGACGTTTACCCAACTTTTTCTTTGGTTTATAGTATTATCGACAGTGAAAATGTTGCCACTGTCTCTTAGATGATGTTTTTTTCTTTCTTTTTTGGGCGAAGGTGGTTAGAAATTTGTACGAATGAAAGGTAATATGTAGAAAAATGTATATTTCAATGAGACAGCAACTCATAGACACACACAAAAAAAGGTTTCGGTCGTATAATAGATCAACTACATATTTATATATTTGTCAGTTCCGATATCTATTTTATGAAGAATAGGATGTTTGCAATTGTTCGGAGAAAAGTGATTAAACAAAGTTGATTTTAACAAATATCACTACAAAAGAAAAGCATACCAACCTTAGTCTATTTTCAGGCTTTTCACCGGAACTTGGAGGTTCTGTATCATCGGTTTTGTTGACTTTAGAACTAGACCTTGGGCATTTTTTCGATGTTTGTTGTGCCTCTACCAGTGTTTGCACACAGAACAACAGAACTATTGCAAAGACTACCAACTTCTACAAAAATATACACTCGCATTTGAATCGTACATTTCTTCAGTCAATTTTAAGACAGATTTTCATAAACTATAATCGAATATTACATAAAATGTCCATTGTCAAACGCAAAAAAGCAACAATAAACAAATAAAAAATCATTAAAAAAATTTAGCAACTAACAAAAGTGTATCCTGAAAAAGGTGAAATTATGTTTTTATGATGTAAAATGATAATATGGTTACTGACTTCGTTTAGGTGAACAAAATACAACACAGCGTCGAAATAAGCATAAGATCATATCGTTGTTAGCCGTAATACGTTTATTTTTGACGATTCTCACTACCAACTAGATGACAAATTGGTTAATGCCCCAAAAACGAAGTCGGTGACTCTATGAATATTTGATATCAATCAAACGGAAATTTATATATCAACTACATATCAATTTTTAAGAAAATTCTATGGATTTGTAATTGGACATTTGATGATTTTCACTGATGTTATGTGTTTCCTATACACAAAATAAAAAATGCATCTATTTTAAAAGATTTAATTCAGTAAGATGTTAAGGACAAATAAATGCAATTTTTTTTAGATTTACAGTGATATACTGACGGACTTTAAAAACGCAACACACATTGTGATGATTTTTTTTTACAAAATCATGATTGAACTCATATAACTACTATTCAGGCTTACCATACTTTTTTTTATTTAGAATACTTCAATACCTGATGTACCTGAGGTAATTTTAAAAACATGCCGGATTATGAAAATCGCAAGAATTTCTCAAAGCGATATTTGAAACCCATAAATGATTTTTTAAGATTTTTTTCTTCGTGAAACAATTCTTTCAATCCATACCAACATATAAATCAGTAAAAAAAATGTTGCATTTCTATATTGCCACAACTGAGCAATGAACATCTTAATCAGGCCATAAGAAGATTGTAAGTAGGAATACGTGAACGTGATGTTGCTAGACAATTTCACGTCAGAAACTCCTCTGTTCTAACAACAACGGTATAGACAGACGGGATTTGTTGATGACCAACCATGACCAGATCAATATAGACCAGATAGGCCCTTTATTATTTCTTTTATATATTAATGATCTCCCACTTCAACTAAATCATACAAAGCCTGATTTGTATGCGGATGACACAACACTTAAATACTCTTCAAATTCCGTTGATGATATATGTGATAAACTAAATGACGAAATAGCAACTTTTAAAATATGGTGTGAAAATAATGATATGATTTTAAATATTAAAAAATCCAAATCTATGTTGGTTGGATCACACAGGAAGCTTCAAAGCATACAAGAAACATTGAAGATAGAATACAGTGGAATTCTTTTACAAAATGTAAACAGTGAAAAATTACTTGGCATTTTAATCGATGATTGTCTTTCATGGAATCAACAAATAAACAAAGTATGTACTGTAATTTCAACTAGACTAGGTTTACTAAATCGATTGAAGCATTATATCCCACAAAAAGGTTTTTATTTATTTTATAATGGATATGTACTTCCTCTCTTTGATTATTGCTGTACAATAATGACAGAAACAAGTAATTCAAATATGGAAAAAAATGTTAAAATTACAAAAAGGGCAGCCAGAATCATTCTTAACAAAGCATATGAAACACCGTCAAAAACTTTATTCAATCAATTAGGATGGTTAACTTTTCAAAAAAGAATCATATATCACAAAGGAGTATTATGTATAAGTCTGTAAATAGTATTGCACCTGATTATCTGTGTCAAGTATTTAACAATAACCAGAATGCCAATGCAAGATATTCTTTGCGTTCATCGGACAATAATTGTCTTTTTATACCAAGTCCGAGAACAAATTTTATGAAAAAGACATTTCAATATTCCGGTACTGTTCTTTGGAACAGTATTCCTATAGAAATAAAAAAAAAATAGAAAAGATAAACAGTTCAAACAAAGGTATCATAATTTCTTGTTTTTAGAACAAAAAGGCAGCTAATTATCAGATTCATAAACAAACATGTAAAACCAACCAAATAATGATTATCACAGAAATTTATCTATAGTCTAAAAATCCATATATTTGTCTTGTACATCATTAAGAACATATGTTCATGAAACGTAACACTTAAAATCTTTATGTTTTCACCATTTGTTTTGCATAAAAAGTTGTATATATATATATATATATACTTTTTTGGTCTTTTGGAAAATGTTGTTTGTGCTGTATTCAGACCCCTCTACCAAGAAATTTGTTTTGCATGCACACGTATAAAAATTGCGGTTTTTATCCAACGCAATCATAGGTTTGAACGTTGTTTTCAATTTAGACTTGCTTATATATATATATATATATATATATATATATATATATATATATAGAGTCTATAAGAATCTGCCAACCAGTAAACTTAATAGGTATTGGATCATCAAAGTTGACAATACTACACAAACAGGGAAAATTATATGAGTCTAAAAGATTGTGTAACAATACCGATAAATAGATGGAAAACAAAACACTAAAAAGTGTTGAATATCATCGCACAAAGATGGAAAAACTGAACAGATGATATAAATTATACAATAATTGCAAATATTTCGGCTCAACAAATGGCCTTCCTCAGTGTTAAAAGTTTCAACAATACTGATATATAATGTATAAGGTGTAAACATAGATCAGTTATAATACAGGTAAGTTTTGGTCGATTGATTTTAATCCAAAATCCTGAATATCATAATATAAGCATTAGACTGTAAATTTAATTATTTCTTTCTATTGATTCCATCTGGATGGAGGACACCCAGTGTTTTTATCCAAAACTTCTCCCGATTCTCTCTTTGCCTATTTTGCCATGTACAATCCTGTTCGATCACAAGGATCTTCATGTGATCAAAATCTTTCAGATTGTGATCTGGTAATCTGAAGTGTTGGCTGACAGGAATGTGCGGTTTTTTTGTGAGGTCACTCCTGTGGCCATTAAGGCGTTTGTGAAATGGCTGCATAGATTCACCAACATATTGGAGACCATATATATATATATTATATTATTATATTTTAAGTTATTCAGAGGGCATCAGGGGAGATTAGTATTGTACTAACTGATTTTACCCTCTTTAAATAAAGTATTTATTATTATTATTATTATTATTTTTATTATTATTATTATTATTATTATAATTATTATATGTAGTGACAACGCCATGTCAAAAAATCGTTTACGTCATTTGCGAGACATGTTTACCACCGCAATGTCAACTGCTAATCAAGTCGTCGATTGTCATGGCAGAAAGATTCACGCCATGAATGAAATGCCAAAGAATCGACTACAGAAAAACGTTTTATCCTTAATCCGCATAATAGCTAAAACACACTACACTGTAATGGATGGGACAGAGACCAAATCAGAACTAAAAACATGCCCAACAGAACTGGTTGACTTTTCTGTTAATCATCTAGGCGTTGGTAACTTGCCTTCGACGGTGACACATCCATTGATAAAAGGAAAACCAGGGTTTCAGTGCATATCACGTGATTTGAACAATAAACTTGGCGTATTCAATTCAACTTTCGAACTGCAAACTTTTTTTAGATAATGAAGTAATGAATGAAATTTGTGTTTATAAATTTATTTTACAAAAAATGCATATTTGAAAATAGGATTAAATAGAATAATCTAGTGTCTTTTTAGTGCGTTTTTATAATCCGTCAGTATAGTTCAACGAGCCAAAGTTGTATGCAAAATGTTACAAAAATCTGTGACATAGCCCATTTACTGTACATTGACTCTAAACTGTATTTCACAAAAGCACATTGATGCTATTATATCTATTTCATGATCAAAATAATGCGTTCTATTATAGATTTCGAGTAGTATAAACAAATTCAAATACTGTACTTGTCTGACAGGGGTCCGTCGCCCTGATCTGTAAAGACTGTTTAACGAAGACTCCAGTATGACAAACATATTCCGGGGTAAAGCTAAGTATGTGTACTAATTTATTAAACTGACCAATATAAAATTTCTAAGTTGGTACAAATCATATATGCCTAATGTATAATATATATAGTGATTCTGAAAATTTCCGTTCTCAATTTTATTCTGGCCTGGAATTCTTCATGGACAATTGGATTATTTATGTTTTTGGTGTTGTTTCACCTTAGAAAAGTTATTGAATCTTTGGGCTCAATGAAAGTCATTAAATTCAAACGAAGATTTATTCCTACAAGTGATCCAAAACAATTTTTACTTATATATGCTGGTTAGCTATATCCGACGCCAAACTTATTTAGTAGCACATCTCTTTGAATCTTCTGCTTATCCACTACTTTTGTCTGGATCAGTAACTGACACAATTTAGACTTAAACGTTTTGGAAAACAAAAGGCTTTGACGCATCAATAAAAAAGGTCTTTATTGATAGCCTATACTTAATTTTGATAAACTTTGCTATCAAGACATAGCCTATCTTCTTTTTTTCAATTGAGTATTACTTTTAGTATAATATATTTATGCAATAATTAATGAACGTGTGATTTCTATTAAAAAGAATTTCAAACTTTACTTACAAAATACTTCTCCATGCTTCCAACAAAGCAGGATACCACAAACAGTGAATATTCCTTTTATACTCCTGTGACATATTGCTTGCTTATCCCTTTATTGTACATGCATGTGTAACAGTGTTATGTGGTCGATGACTTATAATTTAATCATAATTTTCCATTCCTCTTGAAAGAGTTTTTTTGTACTTTGAAATGCATAAATTTGTAAATAACAAAACAAAAACTGTTACCTCTAAGCTTTTTTAATAGAAATAGTCGTGCAATATTTGATATGAATACTAAGCTTATTAGTTGTATTATAAAAATCGCTTCAACTAGATTCATAATATTTAAGTTACGACATAGTTAAGTAAACAAATTTATTAAAAGATGTGTGCTTTTTAAATGAAACCTAATTGTTTTTTGAACGAACATGATACCACTTTAAAGGAAATTTTAAGAATACCGTTGGATCGATAACTAACTTTTGCTGGTAGACAGCCTTTTCCATAGGGAGTCTTCTAGCGAATCTTTTAAGTTAATGCTTTGGTAGTTATTACATACAAAGACTAAAGAAAAATCAGCTTAACAGCAGTCAATGCTTGGGCAATAACTATACTATAGTATACAAAATTGATGAGGGTCTTATTAGTGTCTGGTTTGTTAATTTTGTTCCCTTTCCGAAGGAGGATGTTGAACGTATTGTAAAAAGTACCTAGAAATAAATACAGATCCCACAGTGCAATTTATTTTAATTTTAGATTCACAATTGATGCCTTAGACATTCCTGTGCAGAGAAATAAAGGGCAACGAATTGTTTGGGTTTTATACTACTATGCTTTATTTGTTTAGTATGTTCAATTGGATTGTAATATTGTTGCGTAATTGCTATATTCGGCTAAATAATGTAATTTTGCAAATGCTATATATATGTAATATGAAAATTAAGCGATGTTCCTATACTAATTTTACTTGACCAGGTTAGGCTTGAACAACTATGTAATTTAAAGGCATTCTATCGAAAAGATAAACACGTGATCCTAATGTCTATGTATTCAAGAATATGACCCAGCAAATGTTTTACAACATCTAAGTAGTGGCTCAGTTTTAACAAACCCTTTTTAAATTAACGTGCATCAATTGTGAAGAAGTTTAGCCATGCCCGATCGGGCTAACTTTATACAGATACCTATCGTTTAGCCAAAGTCTAAAGGGTGAAAATGTAAACATCTACAGATGTCTCAAAATTGAGCAAAGAGTCAGCCTTTTACAGGTTTCCAAAATTCGATAGTAATTGACCGTCTGGCGTACTAAATTATAAGCCGGGTATCTTTGGTGAGATTTTACCGATGTTGCAATCACTAAAGCAAAACCAAGATATCAACAATAAACTGATAGTAACCCATGAACCCCAAAAGGAGAGTGACCGAGTGTGTCGACAGTGTAAGCGTCTCCCATTTGGTTTCAATGGCTGTTCCAGACACTTATTTATATATTTGAAAGTCAAAATTGAATGAATTATTCTTCAGGATGAATTTTATTCCTTCAATTAAGATGTTTTCTCCTTTTGGTCATGGAATTCTCTATAAAATATAATTCATAATGAGTCATAATTATCCCAACCAAAAGTCTGTATGAATTCTAATATTTAACAAATTATTTTGAAAATTATCTGAAAAAGAAATATACTGGCATGTGAACGTCGGTCGTTCTTGATATAGCGTATTCGTACCTTTATATCTTGCGCGCACTTTATTGTATTAATGTAGTCATAAATTGTTTGTTTTTTTGTTTTTTGTTTTTTTTTTAATGTCTAAATTATTTTGAAGTTGAATCCAGGAACAGATCAAATACTGTGTAGTTATATTAATTTTTTTTCCATGCAACGTTTTGATCAATGCACTTTCTCCTGTTGCTCTAAAAATGGGGACTACTACTGAATAAAACAACTTTTACATTAGTCTTTGATACACTGCCAAGAAATTAGTTTGCAAATTTCAATTACAGTGTACCCGGTATTCAAATTTAACTTTAGTATGGCCTTTCACTTTTACTTACATAAATTACTCATGTCAATTTAAGATACTCTATGATTAGATAATATGTTTCTTTGCTTTCCTTTATCTTAAGTATATAAATTACATGCGCAACTCTTTTGCAAAATGTAAAAAAAAACAAAAACAACACCTAATAAATTCCATGCGTTTGAAGCGCTTTTCTTGATTTACCTTCATCAGGAACGATCAATGTAAAATATTTGAAAGCCAGGGATATATATAAGAACCTAAACAGTTTAAGAGCTTTATAATCAAAATGGACATAGAAATAACAGCCATCTAAGGTCAACTTTGCCTGAGGGAGTTGAAACCTTAGTTTCTTATCAATTTCGAAATGTATAAACGGACAAATTTAGACAGGTTTGTTATAAATCATGTCACACAGGTATAAACCAGAACATCATTTTATATCATTAATAACACATTTCAAGACAGTAAGGAAATGTTATGATTTCCATAAGTTATATATTCATATCTTTAATCCTATTTGTTCTAAATACTTAAGCAGCTCATTCAACATCAATTTCCTTATTTTTATTAAGTTTGACGCAACTATAATCTATTCTAGCTTTTTGACATACAATATGTATTTATATGTACAAACATTTATATACACATGTTACAAGCAGTATATAAAAGGTTTTGGAAAATCTTGAGACTTTCATTGGATTTTCTTCGCCCAGTTACCTTAGCCGTATTTAGCTAAACTTTTGGTTATTTTTAGTTCTTAAGGACATACGATACAGTTTTGGTCCCATGTTGATTTTTTGAAAAAAAATTTGCATAGAAGCTATTTCTCCCCTAGTGAATTCAAATATGTTATAAAAAATATACTGCATGTGCTACTTTTAGAGATAAATTGGGTCGAAATTTTAAACATTTACTCAAAGTTTCGATTTCTTGGACATTTCTATCCTTTGGAAAGACATACCTAACTTTTTTTGTTTCAAAAGATAAACAGAAACGGTTTTTTGTAAAAACTTTTGAAAAATCTTCTTTACATAAGTATGATCTAAATTTTGGAAATTATTGATTTTATCAAATGTTCATGATTTAAAAAAAAAACGCATTTTTTGCTGATTATTCATCTAATTTAAAAAAAACCATCGGTGATTTGTTCATAAAAATTGGAACAAATAATCTTCATACAAAATCAAGCCAAATATCATTTTAAAAGAGAGGGTCTATGAACTTGTTTTCACGCTATTAAATTGATTCAAATTAGTCGAAAAATGCATCTTTTCCAAATATTTCACAGTTTTTTCGTCGTGAAAAGTAACATTTTACGTTAGCAACGTCCTGTAACTGTATCGTATGCCCTTAATGCTCTCCAACTTCATACTTGATTTGAGCGTCACTGATCAGTCTGATGTAGACGAAGAGTGCGTATGGCATAACAATTAATTAGCCTTGTAGCTTTGATAAGTTTTGTTATACCCATTGCAAGCAAAGTGGGACGACTTTTCTTTTGACTATTGTTAACAATCCTTTATACTGTCATACACGTGAGAGGTTTAGCAAGCTATAAAACCAGGTTTAATCCGCCATTTTCTACATAAGGAAATGCCTGTACCAAGTCAGGAATATGACAGTTGTTTTCCATTCGTTTGATGTGTTTGAACCTTTGATTTTGCCATTTGATAAGGGACTTTCCGAATTGAATTTTCCTTGGAGTTCGGTATTTTTGTTATTTTACTTTTTAGGTTAAGCTATCTATAAAACCAGGTTTACTCCACAATTTTCTACATAAGGAAATGCCTGTACCAAGTCAGGAATATGACAGTTGTTTTCCATTCGTTTGATGTGTTAGAGCTTTCGATTTTGCCTTTTTATAAAGGACTTTCCGTTTTGAATTTCCCCTGGAGTTCGATATTTTTGTTATTTTACTTTTTACTTGATTGGAATATTCCGCTATCCTGCCTTTAATATAGATATTGAAAATAATCAAGCACATTTATCTTTTTAGGGCGTAACACTTACTTAAAATTCAGTCAAAGACCTTTTGTACTATTGGCACAATACCAATTTGCAGGGATATTTTCTATAGCTGAAAACCGAGAGAAGCCTTAATCTTCAAATCAAATGGATTGATTGGTATCTAACGTTCAGTTGCAAATGTTACATGTCAGGACGAGAATGTGCTGATGATATGAATATGAACATAAACTCCGCCTTGTACTAGACTGACATATTAAGCCGGATTTTTAACGTGCTATTTAACAAGTTAAGAGTCAACAGGAAAACGTGTCACAATACCCGGAAATACTATTTGGTCTCCAGAAGTCGGTTTAAAAAAAAAACTTACGACTAAAATAAATCGTAAGTCATGAACAATTCAGTATACTTACTATTAAACTTGGTCGTAAGTTTTTTGTGAAACCGACTCCAGGCAGACAAGTAATTGGTCTTACTCTTAAATTAAGTGTGCTGAGCAGAGTCGCAGCAAATATAAATTTATCCCCGAGACGATTATGATTAAATGAAAGCTGGTTTCCATCATCTTAAAAATAGTGTAAAAACCGATTGAGATTCTATCGATTCAAACTCACGAGCTTTCAGACGAAAAAGACACTGACATAGATTTGTAATACATGGTATTAGTAACCACATAAGAAATAATCAATAAATGAAAACTGAAAAAAAACGTAATTTAATAAACCATACAAAAATTAACAAAGCGACTAATAAAAGACATGTGTTGAAGTATGCTAGATCAGGAAACAAATGAAACTATTCAACAATATTTGAAAACATCGACTATATTAATTCAATGTCCTCTTACTGCAAGACGACGATCCAGACTTAAATCCACGTCCAGTCTGTTTTTGTTAGATATGTTTCTGCTTTGTATCGATCTGCTGAGTAAAGCCCTTTTCAAAAGATTTTTATATTTAATTTGTTCTTATGTTGTGATGTAACGCCACTGTCCCAGGGAAGGGTTGAGCGTTCATAAACATTCGTTATGTGCCTGTCCAAAGTCAGGAGCCTGTATTTCAGTGGTTGT